TTCTTGTGTGCATGTGTGTGTGCATGTGTGTGTATGTGTTAAACAGAGAATGTGTGTGTGTGTGTGTGTGTGTATGTGTCGGTGAAAGAACCGGCTTTACTGACAAGATGCGCGTTAAATATCGCATGCGATTTATCGTGCAGCCCTAATGTGTGTGTATATATGTTTGTGTGAGAGCGTTAGATATGTAATGAATGGAGAGTGAGTGTCCTTTCCAAGGATTGCCACCTTGATGTGGTGGAAAGGCTTGCGCGTTCCAGTGATCCCAAGAGTAAACCAGTCTGGAGATTTTCACTCCAGTTTGGCTTGGGTGAGGTTCCAGACTAAGTGCCATCCAAATGGTCATTAATTGAACTAAATAAAATCTTATTTTAACTACTAGGCTATGAAGAAAGCTTCAACAGAGTTGGCTAACTGGATGCGAAATAAGTCATGCCTTTTATTGTTTTCCCTGTTTGTTATTTGTTAATTACTTGTTACATTCAGTTATGTCAAATATGTTGTCAATACCATTAAAATTAAGATAAAAAAAAATGTAATGGTCTATCAGCATTTAGGAGATTATAGTTTTTGGATACCATTTTGGGATTTATTAAAGTTTATGAAAATATAATGAATTTATATGCATTTTTTTAGTCCTTTAAATGAAATATTTTCAAAGTCTGAACTAAGATCTTGAATGATTTGCTATCCTGTGGCGCCCTCGTGTGGACAACATTAGCATCATGGCCCTCATCTCTGAACCACATTAAGATTAAATGGATAATAGTATTGAATGATTAGAAAAGTTTAATGATTACTTCACTGATAACATACCCACATTAAACTCAAATTCGCTCATTCTGTATCTTATTTCATGCTTTAAGAGTTACATTTTCAACTGACATTTTAAGCATGATTGATTATTATGTCACTTGTTACATGGTTATTTAACAATTATAATATATAAACAATAAAATGATTTAAAAAGTACAACAGTTGTTGTTTTCATAATGTTTTCTATAGACCCTTGTTATTTATTTAGTCACTTAAATGAAACATTTTCAAAGTCTTTAAACTGAGATCTTGAAGGATTTGCTATCCTGTGGCGCCCTCGTGTGAACAACATTAGCATCATGGCCCTCATCTCTGAACCACATTAAGATGAAATGGCCAATATTTTTTGAATGACTATAAATGTTCAATTAGTTTACTGATAATATACCCACATTAAACTCAAATTTACTGATTCAGTATCTTATTTCATGCTTTAAGAGTTAAATTTTCAACTTCCATTTTTATTCTGTAATGATTGATTATTATGTGACTTGTTAAATGGTTTTTTGAGCAATTTTAATATATAAACAATATAATGATGAAAAAGTACAACAGTTATTGTTTTCATAATATTTTGTATAGAAAGTTTTGTATTGTAATGAAGAAGGTTTTTATGACAACAAAAATTGTCATTACTAAAAATTATACACTAATTTCATTCATATTGTTTTTCAATAGGACAAGCACCTTTTCATTAATATGGCTGTTTCCAAGGTTTTTTTTAGGATTTACATTTCAAAAAGTAAAAGACAAGTAGGCTACTTCAAGCTTTTTAAGCAGCTTGTACAAACCCTGGTAATATTTGTTATAGACCGCTGTAATTGTCTATTCTAACAAACAAGTTTATTATGATAAAAACATGTAGATATCAGTTAAATTGCGCGATAAACAATTTGCAAACAACAGTATAACAGAGCAGGTTTTAGGTTTGTAGATGTTTAGATGCAGAAATGGAAGAATCCTAAAATAACATTGCATAGTTTTCATTAAATATTGATTCTTGTTAGAGCAATAAATAAATAAATAAAAGAAGCCAAGACAAACAAATGATTTTCTGGTTTTTATGGATTAACATTGAAGACAGAAAGCAGCTGGTAAATGCGGTCGCTTAATATTCACATCCATCCACCTCCGATTTAATTCTCAAAAGTTTATGTTCACGTGAGACATAAACGAATGTTTTCGATGATATTCGCCAAGCTATCATGTATTTTGAAATAATCTTGTCTATGTTTGTGCAACAGAAGTCTTTCTTATTGAGAGAAGCGAGGATGAATGCGGTCCGGAGTGCGAGCGTCCGAGCTGCGACGCGTTGCTCTAAAAAATATCTCACAAGCACTCATAAGCACTCATAATATGTTCTTCTATATTTACTGTGTTGGATCGCTGGAATGTTTTGATTTATAAGGCTGTATAACTGTGTTCAGTCGCTGGTGTGTTTTAACTTAAAAGGCTTTTAAACAATTGCAAATTAATAAGTTTAATGAGAATGCTGCAGTGAGCTGCGATCTCAGAAACCCAACGCAAGGCTTTCAGTTACTCAAAAAACACCTCAAACACTTGAATTTAGCTCTTGTTGTGTTCTAATGGGTGGATTGTATGCAATCACTGGGATATTTTATTTTAAAAGGCTCTAAAACAAGTGCAAATGCTGTTGTGAGCATGTACGGACTGCACTCGCTGATCGGTGCGATGACAGTTCTCTCGTCTTTCACACTGTTCTCTGGCCATCAGACAGTCAATATTATCCTGTCCTGACCTGGTAATGATCAGATATGTTGGTGTAGCTTGTCATTGTGGATGAAATTTATGTATTTATTTGTATTTTAACCGATGTCAAAGTGAAACTGAGAGAAGTCATTCGGCTCCTCTTTCTAGAGGAGAGAATTGCTCCTCTAGGGGCGCAATTTTTCTCAGCCAATGTAAGTTTATGGGAAATTTTTCATATTTAATAATTATTTATTAAAAAAACTAAGTCTGATCAGTCTGAAAAGATATAACACACTTCTCGCAATCAGGGCTCAGGTCTCTGTCGAGTTTGAATTAAAGCCCTGGGACGAGTTAGAGTTGGAAAATTTAGTCTCAGAATAATAATAATAATAATAATAATAATGTTTAAATAGCATAACAGTATGTTGACCTTTTTAAAGCAATTTTTGTTTACATAATTGAGAAATATTTGAAGGCTACATGCTGTTTTATTATATTATTTACTTATAAGTATTATAATTAATAATTAACTCATTAATTGAATTTGTTAAAATAGTTCAAGTCCCCCTGCAGTAACTCATTTTATCCCTTAAAACACTTCTTTGATAATCACAATGACATATTTAAAGTTTTTTGTCCCATGGAAGTAATTTCTTTATGTCTTGAAATGGCTTGAATGCAATTCTACACTGCGATAGTTCAGCTGCAACACTGGTTACATCACTTGCCCACCGTGGCACCACCCCAACCGTCGTTTTTGATTCTATAGTAATAAAAATCATTTAGTTAAGTTAGAGAACAGACTCTACAACTAAAAACTGAACATGTCTGCTCAATTCAGCGTGAGCCAGATCGGCAGCATGAGGCAGATTTCGCTTCACTCAGATGAAGGCAGAAGATTTGGTTTCAAAGCGAAATGCAAAAGCTCCTATTTAAGTGAGTTTGCCATTATACTGTTTTGTTGTTGTGTTTTTCATTAAAAATAATAATGAACCAACCATTCAAACAATTGCCGTATATTATATTATATAATATATATTTTTCCTTCTCAAGCCATCTCATGTCACAATATGGAAGGTACGTTGCATGCAATTTTGGTTTCATGCCGAAACCATTCAAACAATTGCCGCCCCCGAATAAATATGCTAATTAGCCCCGTCTCCACTCAATCACAGCAGCTCAGACCTGCTTCACTTTCACTCCTTTAACTGAAGTAGTAAATGCTACACAATCGCAATATTGGATAAATGGTTATGAATTAAGTGAATTTCTTCAAATTGCAAAAGGCTTATAGCGTAGAAATCACACAAAGAGAGCTCACCTTGGTTACTAAAAATCTGGATCTCTTATGTACATCACGCCATCATAATGAGAGGATTCGGAAGCACACGGAACAAAATCTGGATTCTGACTATTGGCCATTGCACTCTTGAAATCAGCAGATATGTCTGTGATTGGCTACACTGCTCGAGGCTGTAAAAACAAGATGTAATAGAAACCTTTGACCAGATATGAAAAGCCCCACACGCTGAAACGATGGTTTGATTTTGCTTTAAAGTCAGATTGTCTGTGTTTTTCTCTCCATGATTACTCAGTGCTTCTGAAATACTTTTCTTTAGAAGAGAAAAAAATACAAACTAAATGGCCAGTTTTGTTTAGGAGTTGTTTATTGAACTGATTCAGCCGAACAGCACTCTTGCTCATTTCATATTGCCCAGTGATTAGGACTGCAACCTGCCACAAATGATTATTTTGATAATCGGTTAATGTAATGATTTTTTAGAACAATTATCCAACTAATCATTGATTATTTCACAGATTAATCAGTAGGCTTTAGTCAATTACTCAGCTTTTGCCATTATTAAATATTGAGTTATATATATATTTGTTTGTACTCTGACATATTGGCTGTGTCCCAATTGAGAGGCTGCAATCAAAGACCGATTGCATCACCGCGGTGCGACAAAGGCTGTGAATATGAAGACTCCTTCAAATGTGGCCTCAAAATGCATCCTTCGTATCCCGGGCAATGTAGGATACAACTGAAAGATCCTTTGGGCCCAGAGTGTCCCAAGATTCATTGTGCACTGATGATGACAGGATTTTTTGAGAGAAAATGCTGGATTACAGTGAGTATTGTTTTTTATGTACATGAATGGACCAAGGTGAGCATATTTAGACCGGTTGTGAACCCTGTTTAGTTTTCTGACTGTTTAATATCACTTTCCACAAAGTCCGGTACAAACGTTACTGACGCTCATCAACTGCAGCTGTCACAGTGGCTAGGAGACAAAGTCAATCCTCTTTTTTTTTTTTTATTACCAGTGTTGTTGATAATATCGACTAATCATTTCAGCCCTACCAGTGATATAACAACACAATCATGATGTTCTTTGTTAAATGGGATCTTTGTACCTGTCATTAAATAATTATAATATTCATATGTGGAAAAAAAAAGATTTGATGTTTTTAACCTGTCAGACATCTGTCCAGAGATCACAGAACCAGTCAAAACACCACAGAAGAAGAGTGAGGTCGTCAACGGAGCCCTCCAGTTATCTGAACACACCAGATCCCACTGCGATTGAACAAACAACGCAGGTTTTAAAATGATTATATTCATCTGTAGAAGGAAAATTAGGCAAACTAACTCTAAACTAAGTTGCTAAAAGTTACACAACATATAATCCGCTAAATGGCGTAGTTTACATTATTTGAGCTCTTCTGGTCTTAATTAAATACAGAAGAAAGGGAGTCAAGACAATGTCTCAAATGGGGAAGCTGTCACAATGACTATTGTGTGGAAATTTTGAGTTAAAATTCCAGTTACACAAAACCTCGTTTTCAATGATAATGGGTTTGCATTTTTTTTTTTTTTAGTTGGCATCCAAATCAGAATTAACCCTATTTATTTTCTTAACACATGTTAGTGGTCTTATTTTGAATGAATAGCCATGCAAATATTTTGGAACTAAAAGTCATAACTTGCTTTTTTTGTCATATGAATCACGTCTCTCTGCAGACATATGCCAATCTGTGCTGAAGTCACAATGCATTTCAATCCAAATGTACTTTTTTCATCCAATTTATATTTTTCCTTCTCAAGCCATTTCATGTCACAATATGGAAGGTACGTTGCATGCAATTTTGGTTTCATGCTGAATTAAAACTAGAAACCTCTTTGGGAATTCTGGCCTACAGAAAAAACTTCCAATATCTTTACAGATGTACAAATGCGCCATTTACTGATTAACAAGTAAACAGCATATAATGAAGTCTTTTTTTTTAGCACAAGTGTATTGCTCATGAAAGCCCATGTGTGTGGAAATGAGATAAATTTCAGAGGTCACACTGATATAATTAAAATTATGTATTTTCATTTGTTCCAAATAATGGTTTGATTTTTTTATGTTGCCTTTTACATTTGTGCTGTTTTATTACTTGTTTTGTTCAATAATGGTCTTACTGTTTAAATATAGCTGTAAAAGCCATATCCTAATACGGGTTTAAATGCATGCATTTGAATTAAATAAGCAGGTTCCCATTGTGACAACATGCCCCGCAGCAGGGTGAGCGTGTTTTCACTGACCAGGTCAGTAACAGTGGAAAGTTCAGTCGCTTTTGCAGTCAACAGGCCTACCTCAAGGCAGGCGTTTATACAGAAACGAACTTTAAAAAAAAAAAAACATACTCGGACAAATATTGACCGGAATAAAGCGTCACACCTGCCACTGCATCCGAACCTGAACTTCCGCCTCGCACAGTAATAGAAAACACTGGGCTGGCTGTGAAACGAACCTCTGAAACGATCGTGGAGATGTATGTTCCTGTATCATACTCCCAGCCGTCCAGACAGCCTTCTTGAGGAATATCCGAGACATTCACATCCACCCACGGGAGCAAACCTCGGTCCGAATAGTTTTTCACGACGTCCATTCGGTGTCTTGAACATTTACTGAACCGAGAATCCCGGTTCTCCTCGTCCTCCTCCAGAGGAATAGACGCGTTTCTCCATTCGTCCGTGATATTCAGAGCTGCGGGGATGAGACAGCGATGAGCGGGTGTGTCGCCCATGAAAACCATGGATAAACCCGTGAAGCCATTCGGAATCATGCTCAAACACAAGAGAGCGAAGACTGTCCTTTGAAAAGGGCCCCAGTCTCCCAGGAACGCGGTGCTGTCATCGTAGTCTGGGGAGATCATGGCAGTCAAAGCTTTCAGTGGCTTCAGTCCGGTGTAGTGCCGAAATGTGCGCCCTGCCAGATTATGCACCCCCTAGTATTGGTAGGTTTAGGAGTAGGGGTGGGGTTGGGATTAGGCAATCAGGTAGCGATTTCAACGAGGGGGTGCATAATCTGGCTTTCTTTCAGGTTGAAGGGAGGGAGGAGGCAAACACGCGGATTCGCATCTGTTCGTTTGCCGACAGCGCCGCACGTTTTTCAGTAACGGAGCCGTTTCTCCGGTAGTGCTGATGTAGAGCTGTAATGGAGCCGCGTTAGTGTTTATGTCGAAGCTCTCAGGCCTCCTCAGTTTAAAAGGAAAAAAAACACCTTTATTTATTTATTTTTACTTAACCCTGTTCGCCTGACGGTCGAAAAAGGACCGTATTTAGCTATTTACTTATTTATTTGAATTTACTATACTTTAGTTTGATTTTTTATATATATTTTGTATTTTTAGGGGATTTAATGGTACTAAATAATATTTATGGAATAGTTATCATCCATTTATTTCCTGTTAACCACTTTTTGAGCATTGACCTTAAACTGTAAATCTTTATTTCTCTGGAGTGCAGACTTACATTCGGTCTCTTTTTAAAGAAGACACTTGGCAGATTATTGCTGAAGTGAAAAAAAAAGTTATAGGAATTTATTATTATGAAAAATGCATAAAAATAATATTTTAAAATTGTATATAATTTACTCTCATATTACAAGAAAATCAAAGCCATAAATCTAAATAAGTTTATGCGATCCAATACCTTTTCGAATCATGTCCATGATATATGTGTGTGTGTGTGTTAACATAGCAAGTGCCAAAACCTTTTGCACTGCATAAGTGGCACAGAAGCTGCATCTGAAGTGGCATTATATGTATTTTCACAACATGTTTAATGCGCCTAAAATCTGATATGAATGCATTTGCACTGCAATTACAACTGCATAAATAATGGTATGAAACGAATGTTTTAAATAAACTTTTGAGTACAGAAATATGAAGAAAAAATAAATAAATATGAAACTAAGTCACCTAACTTTACACTAAACTTTAAACGTCAATGATGCTAATGGGGGACCACAACAATTCCTCCGAGGGACCCACAGATTTCTACCAAGCAAGTATAGCTCTACATCAGTACGGCCAGAAAGAGGAAAATAGCTTTTATAAGTGTGTATGCCTTCAAGTCAAAGGTACTAATGCAAAAACATCATGTTAGAGCAAGCAGCGATGGATCAGACGGTTACCTGAGTCTGTTAGAGCTTTCATTCTTCAGCTCCAGTCACATATGCATGAAGAACAGTTTGCCAGTTGTCTGCTAAAGAAAGTAATTTCACATGATGGTTGTCAGTGCTGGCCAATAAATTGATCTTCAGTATTACCCCAGAGTCTTTGAGCCATATAAAATTTTGTTCAAAGTTCAAATAGTTTTAACACTTTGTTTCTTTCTTGAATCAGCATTTCTGAGTAAACTGGTTGGATGAATGGTTTACTGACTCGCTCATAAAAGCTTGCTGCCATCTTCTAGCGTAACAATCTGAACTGAAGTCACTGCAAACTAACCACCACTAACACACAGCCTGTCCAGAACACACAGAGGTGAAAAGCTCCTGCAACACATTGCTGGACTGCATCTGCGTTCAGTGTGAATGCTGCAACCTGTGAACATGGGCACTGGAAAAAAGTACCGCATGCGTACTGCAAACAGATCATGTGTGAAACACGTGTTAGTCTGAATATCAGAATGTCTGTGATTATACGGCCTCTCGCCAAGAATCCAAATACAGCTGTGCTGCAGGGACATGCAGAGTTCCTCAGGGGGTCCAATGTAAAAGAAGGGGCATCAATCACTACAACTATGGACTAGAGTTAAATTTAACTATATATATATATATATATATATATAGCCTGTAAGTGGCACTTGGGTTTCATTGGATCATGATTCATCAAACAGTGTATCAATGCCCTTACAAAAATTAACCATGATTTTATTATAGTAAAAGTTTTTTTAGTAAAATGTTTTTTGGTGTATTGATTACCATTTATATAACCACAGTTTTACTATAAATGGTTAATCTATGGTTAGTGTAGCAAAACCATGGTTAATTTGTGGTTACCATGGTTTAACTATAGTAACCATAGATTTTTGGTTTTATTTGTAGCAAAAGCATGGTTAATTTTCGTAAGGGTATGCAGTACATAAACAAGAATAAATTAAACACTTCTTACTATTAATGCAACGTCTTATATTTTAACCATTTCACATTTGTTAAAAAAAAACACTGAAAACATAGAGTGGCTGCGAAGTTTTCAACCGATTCATGATTAAGAGCTGGAAATTACAGCTGCACTTCACACTGTCCAATTAAATCTGAGCTCGTTTGGGCAAAACACTCATAACGACACTTCAGACCGACAGATTTCAAAACAAACAGGGGTTTTCCGACTTTTGAGTGATTCGTTATGGTTTTGTACTGTACATGTTGTCATATAAATTATAATTCAAATGCATTGTTTTATTGACAGCAATATTACTGTTGAGAGGTGTACTTTTGATTCATTTTGATAAAGGGCAGGAGCTGGAGCTCCCAAAGCGCCTCGTCTGCTCCTGAAGCGCTTCAGTGCCAACACTGCTCAAACACACCGGCCTGTAACGTTTGAGCAATCCTGAACACATTGATGGGCCGACTCAGGTGTGTTTGATTAGGGCTGGAGCTTTGCCATGTAGCTTGAGACGCTTTACAGCAGACATTACGATACCACATCAAAGGCAGTAAAGCTCCTCATGAGGTGGATTTGTCTCGCATACATGATCTGCCTATAAAAGTCAGAAAAACAAGACAAATTGATGTCGCCATGCCAGCTCAACAGTGTAATTCATTCAGGGACATGGTCGCTCATTTGATTAACAGGACATGATTGTTTTTATTTCACTGTCCAGTTGTTAAAGTTTCACTTCTTTGAAGACTTTACTTTTGTCTGCTGTCCACATCATTGCATCCTGTTTTTTGGAGCTCCTCAGTCTAAGTGAGATAAAAGATATGAGATGTTGTATTTTATCTCAATGTGGTTCTGATGAAAATCAGACATTAAATCACATGTATTTTATCTAAAAGCCCCAAACGCTGAACTGAATATAGAGTCCATTGTTAAAAGTAAACATGATCATTTTTAAGCCAGTTAACTGCAAGAGAGGTAATAGAGTACTATGTGTCAAAAAAAGTATCAGAACCAAACAACATTTTTCCTGTGGCATAGGCGCCATTTGTTTAGAAGGAAAACTTGTATAGGCTATCCTAATTTTTAAAGTAAATAAATGCTGGTCTAAAGTTAAAAACAGGTAGAATGTTTTCCTCAATTAAGAAATGATGTCGATTTATTAAAAACATGACTGTTTATTTCTATACATCTGAATCTCTCTTTGGGTTGGTCTCTCCTCCGGTGTTAGGGGCGGTAATGGGTGTGCTCGTAACTTCATTCAGAGTTTGTGTGAGGATGTATAAGATGCGCGGTTCTCTCTCTTTTCTAACTTGTAACAAACGCTAGCTTTCCTAAAATTGTAATGGTAGACTACAACATAGATTTTGGCAAGTATTATATGCTGTTGCTTAACGAACGTATCTGATTCTTTTTTTGTTTAGATCTCGGTAAGATGGTCAGTAGTCTACTTTTTCTTTTTATTTAACTTTGTCAAACTCTAACTAGTTTTAAATTGTTTAACAACACTTAAATGCTCGTCTTGACCCGTTTTTTACTCTTTTCTGGAAAAAATCAGTCATTACATTGTTTATATAGTGTGTATGTTTGATGTTTTTCTTGAAATGTGTGTGTAAAATTTTAATAAAAACTTCCCTTATCCCATTTAATAATCATACCACGTTTCACCTATGCGAGCGGTCATGGAGCACGTTCCCATGGCCATGTTTCTCACCACGGTAGGAAACAGTTCTGAAGTCACTGCATAAACTACACAGAATGCAGCTGTGACACCAAGCTTTCCCAGCATCTCCAGTAAGGTTGCCAACTCCATCAGGTCTGCAAACATACAGATAGACAGATAACTAATGTAAACATAAACAGCCACATACAAATTTGTTACAAATTGTAACAAAATGTAAATCAGAAAAATGTCATCTAAATAGTAAAAGTATGTATCATATCTGCCACTCTGGTTCAGATCTTATTTCGACACAAGCTTGGTCACATTGCCTGTTTGTTTGAAGACTATTTATTGTGGCAACAAGCAACAGCAATCCTTCAATCGGCATCCTGCAGACACACTTCTTAGAAGTTAACCGTCCTGGCTGAAGTTAACCAGTACCCTTCTTTTAAACTGTCCTGCTTATAGGAGGACGATTATTAGGACAGCGTTGACCACTCTAATATGACTGGTTCACAACAACATACAGAACATGGAATGGCCTGAGACACAGAGAAGTGACTGACCTAGAGAGACAAAGACAAACCCAAAGACAAAGAACTGAACAACCTCTCAGTGGAATGAGACCTTTGATCTTACCGGCAGCAAAACACATCAGATCACTCAACATGATCCAAACTAATGACTCAAAGAATTATATACGTGTCAGATGTGTGGTGCAGATACCTTTGGGAATGAGCTGTATGATGAAAATCATAGCTCCACCCATGAGAAGAGTGGAGGACTGACAGAATCTCCTGCTGCAGTATCTGAGCAACAGCATGGCTATAATGAAAGCTGGGATCTCCACCACTGCAGACGGGAAGAAATTCAGGTACAGATTTCCATGAAGGTTTGTGGTGTTCAGAATGAGAGCATAGTAAGACATGGTGATGACCATCCTAAAGGGAAAAACAGCTCTTGTAAATCAGTTGCTTTTACCAGTCTCTCAATCCTGC